TTTAATGGCTTGAGTCAATACCATTCGTATATTTTATATTGCGATCAAAATTTAAAATAAAAAGAATGGTGACGTGCAAGAGACGTTTGAATTGACCATTTCGTTGGGAAACTAGAGCCAATTGACGTTGACCATTAATATTGCTTAATGTCTTCAGTTTTTAATTAACTTATAATTTCTTCCTTAATCTTTTAGTTTACCAATTAATTATGTAAAATGTAGTTCGAGTTTCTCTTTCATTTATGTCAAGAGTCATTTTTTATTGAAGAACAAACTTCTAAATGCTCAGAATCAAAGATCACACACTAGAGAGTATCAAGAAATTATGCTTTAGATATTTCATATTTGATGGGAGAACAAACTTCTTAATCGTCAAATTAAAGTTCACACACTAGAGACAACATTGGTAACGATCATACATTAATACCAACAAAAGCTCATTTATTTCTAATTTTCATTCCTTGAAATTCTTCGTGAACACAGATATAATAATAACTAAAAGTTACATAATCTCTTTTATTGTTATTAAATAATAATAACAAAAAAACAAGTGAAGCTCATCCATTTGATAGGAACAAAGCTAGTTAATTTTTCCATACTTCAGCTACAAAATTTAATTTACAAATCAATATATTTCCGATGAGCTGTTGAATTTAGAGGTTCACTAACGACCATCTAACGACCATCTAAGAATGTAAGTGTAGCATCATTTGAAGTAGAAGTTAGGTGATCTCCTCGTGGTAAATTAAGATTAGATACAAATCTTTCCCCGTAAAATCCAGGTCGCTCGGGAGGGATTAACAAAAAGTTATCATTTTCTATCATTGAAAGCACAGATGACATAATTGGTCTTTTTTCTGGACGCCCTTGAACACATAAAAGCCCAATGTTTATATATCTTAATGCTTCATATTCTTGAAATTGATCCTTCAATGTTGCATCTACTAATTGCAAGGCCCTCTCGTCTGTCCAAAGTTTCCATGCCTAAAACAATTTCAATTTTCACATGGTCATTGTGGGAATTGAGTTTCTTCGAGAAGACCATCATTTATTTATACTTACATGTCCAAGAAGATTTAGATGATGATCGGAGTGAAAGAAACCTCTGTTTTTCTTGCTGCTAACAATTTCTAAAACCATAACTCCAAAGCTAAAAACGTCAGATTTGAATGAAAAGTAACCATCAATTGCATACTCCGGAGACATGTAGCCACTGCATTAACAACATTATCGCATTGAGATATATACTAAAATTTTAATGTAAAAATCAAATAGGGAGGATTCCAAACAATGGTCTTTGTTACTCACAATGTCCCGACAACTCTTTTTGTTTTCGTTCCCAATTGATCTTCTCCAAACATGCGTGCAACGCCGAAGTCTGAAATTTTCGGCTTCATTTCACTATCTAATAGAATATTGGCTGCTTTAAGATCTCTGTGTATTATTCTAAGTCTAGAATCTCGATGAAGATACAGAAGACCTCGAGCTATGCCAATTATGATGTCAATTCTTGTGGACCAATTGAGTAAGGAACGCCTTTCGTCATCTATTTCAATCATATTAATCTTTTAGAATCAAACAACAAAAATTCAAAGATGTTTTAGTAAAATGGCAATAGAGAATCAAACATGCACAAAGAGGAAATATAGATAAAGAAAGATTGTTTGATACCAACCAAAAAGGAAGTAGTCCAAACTTTTGTTTGGCATGTATTCATAAATAAGTAATGTTTCTTCCTCGTGGATGCAAAAACCAAGAAGTTTGACAAGATTTCGATGTTGAAGCTGAGAAATGACAAGGACCTCATTTTTAAACTCATGTAGGCCTTGGCGAGAGCTTTCTGCTAGTTTTTTTACTGCAATTTCTTGTCCAGATGGAAGCTTGCCCTGAAACGATTTTGACAAAAGGATAGCAAAACTAGCCGCTAAAGATTTTGATGTTGAATTAAGCCTTCGAAACTTTTAATACATTAAAGACAGAGTACCTTATAAACTGGTCCAAAGCCACCTTCCCCTATCTTATTGGAAAGAGAGAAATTATTAGTCGCAACTTCAATCATAGTAATTGGCATCTCAAGTTCAATCTCTTGAATTGGAACCTCAATAATGGTAACTTCATTTTCTGCTACATGAGATAAATTAGAAACGATGACAAAAAGATTATGAATAATTAGCGAAATAAACATGTCATGAGAATGAAGAGGAAAATTTTACCTGATATAGATCTTCTTACATTCCTAATGATAAACCAGCTGATTAATGCCAAAACCATTATTGTTGGTACAACTACAGCAACTATAAGCTTGCTCTTGGATTTCCTGTTCACAATCATAGTGGTTTCTAGTTCTACAATAGAAAACAGAGTTTAAAAGTTAAGACTTTTGTTAAGGGCGAAACATAAGGAGAAGCGGTTAATTAAATACCCAATTCAGAAGCGGCCACTCTCACAAAGAGTTCATCTCCAATTCCAGGGTTTCCAGCATATCTTAAATCAATCAATTCGTGAAACCATGTTACGCAGCCGTGGCCAATGTTGGGAATTTCCACTCTTCCGTAGGCTAAGCAAGAACAATTTCTCAAACACTCCTCCTCGCAATTTTGAATACCCATCTTTAGTTTCACAAACTCCCCTCTGGAATCAGGCCATTTCACATCACTTATATTTTTGAATCCATCTCCGGCTCTGCAGATCTCTTGATCCTTTCTCACGCACCCATCTGAACTCTTTTGGGCTGTTTTCGGCTCAAACCCATCTAAACAAACGCAAGTTACCGTTACTCCCAAACTACAATAACCAAAATTTCCACATATTTTGTAGTTGTCGCAACCGACTGCTGCAAGCGCGTATGCTTTCTGCCATGCCACACCGCTCCACGTTAAGTGTGTAACGGACCCAGTTGAATCCAACGCGATTCTTGAGCGGCCATTCGTTGGATCATTATATGAATATGATATCTCAAATGAAGCATTATAGACGAAAATGGGGGTGTAATCTCTGCTCCCTTTTGAGCGACCCTGGGCAAAACCAGGACCGAACCATGGCCCGCCCCTATAAATCATCTTGTTTCCTTTACGAATGGCCAGTTGAGGAAGCCCATCCGTGTCAACGCTGTAACTGAACTCTCCAGGCGATGGATCGTTTGGACTTCTCCACGATGTTAACTTCCGGTCCAGACCCGTTTTGGAGTCCCACCCGAGTTTCATGCCCGGTAACAGAGTATCAGAGGGATAATCAAAACTCTGCCACAAAGGAATTTCAGACCCAGAATCTCTCAGCACCAAATTGCCAGTACCCAGCAGCTGGGCAACAGGGTTTTCAACTGATTTCGTCGAATTCGAAGACCAAAAAGCTGCACCTGTTTGATTGAAGAGGGCCAAGTTTCCATCTCTAGTGAAACTTAAAGTGGCAGAGGAGTTTACAATTGGGTTGTCTCTGTTTGCCACCCAAACGACTGTCTCGGAAATGTTCTTGTACCATATTCCTAAATACTTGAAATTGGAGGCGGGCTCTGTGAAGAATCCCAATTCAAACTTCTGGGCGGCTGAAACAATAAATTGGGTGTCATTAATGGATTGCCCTGCTTTTATGGTGTCGGCTGCAATCGATTGTCTGGAAAACAGAGGAACGAGTGTGCAGAAAAATAGCAAAGTTAAAAGATTGCGCATAGGGATTAGATTTTCCATTACTTGTTACTCTGTACTCTGTAGAGAGCGACTGGATGATTGTTCATATAGGAAAATAGTGATTGAATTTTAAATTTTAAAACTATAATATGTTATATATCTATCACATCGTCTCATTAAAAAAAACCAGTAGAAATTTTCAATTTGAGTTGAAGTCTTCTTAATTTTAATGTTTAACTATTTAATTTTACTCGTGAGAATTGGCGTGTGACTGAAGAAAATATAATAATGACTTAATGTTTTGTATATTATATAATGGGTCCGTGTCAATTCCTTTTATATTTTTGTGGTTACTTGTAGAAATTAAGAAGACAGCCTAGCCAATTGAGTCGTTGACTTGACCACATCAACAAGATATTGTTTGTATCTTCAGTGGCTTCAAACTCTCCTTTTACTATTATTATTATTACTATTATTATTTAATCATTAATGATGTGAATTGTAATCAGGTCCTTTTCTTATTACAGCCAATTAAGATGAACAGGAAAGTAGAATTCAAATGTAAATAAATGATGGGTAGAGATTTGAATAGGTGGACTTATTTTTAAAATGTTTAGTTTCATTCTTTTAGTACAATAAATCAGACGAGTGAGGATTTGAAACTTTAATTTCAAAGGAAATAGTAGATTATCATTTATTGTTGAGTGTGTATATATATATTAATTTGATTGATCTTTTAGATGGTAATATATACTGTATTTTATTTATTGAGAAATATAATTTTTTTTTTCTTTTTATAAAAGAAGACAGAAATGAAACACAAATTAAACATTCGGAGTTACAAAAAAAGAAAGTTAAACAACCACAAAGGCATATCTTCCTCTTCCCATGTTTCCAAAGGACAAAATCTTCTCCATCTCTGGCTCTCTTTGCAATCTCATTAGCCACCAAATTCAAATCTCTCGATGCATGTTAGATTGACACAATATTTGCAGTCAATGCCAACTGAACGCCATCTTCAATGACCCATTTTATCTCTATAAGGTCAGATTCTTTACCATTCAAAAGATTTATGACTTGAAGGCAATCCAATTCCACATAAATAAATAAATTTCATTCTCCTTCCATTATTATCGCTCTTAATCCTTCGCAAATAGTCATGGCTTCAAGGATTTTAATCTCTCGTTGCAGAGCTATCGGACGACTTCCTGCCAACATTGCCTCACCACGCTGATCACAAACTATCCCTCCAATACCACGCTAATCACGAACTATCCATCCAATACCACCGTGCCTTTGATCTTCGCTCCAAGATGCGTCACAGTTAAGTTTCCAACAGTTAATAGGAGGGGGATTCCACTTCTGATTTGAGTTACTTTGCATATCAGTTAGTCAGGTAATGCTTCTTGCCCTTCTTCTTGCTCTTTTGTGTGACTGAACTAGTATCCCCGTAATTTTTAATTAATATTTCACTAATCGAACTAGGTTTTTTTTTTTTAAAAAACAGTGAATTATGTTTAAATTATATTATAGATGATTAACATAATGAATGGATTGTTTTAGAACTTAATTATAGGTTCATTTTACGTTTGAAAAATGTAAATTTTTATCCCTAAATAGGATCTTGATTAAGAGAATTGAAAAGGAT